ACTACTAGATCGGACTCTTAGTGACCCTGTTTACAGCCTCCCAAAAGCTGGGATTACAGGCGCGTGCCACCATGCCCAGTCTCAACTGCTGTTTATAGTCCCTCAACCTCAACTCTGACTGGGAGCTGCAGTGCACAGCCGACACTTTCGAGTCTTTTGTCGCTGCTCTGGTAGGCAGCCGTTGTACTTCTGCTTCCTTAGAGCCTACCTGATAAATCCCTTTTAGTAGTTGTGCATATATTTTATATTCGTTCTATTCATTCCCTCTAGAGAATTCTATGTAACATACCTTTTCAGTTGGATGTATTTTAATACAAAATATGAAAATCAGCAAATGTTCACCGAGAGACTTAAGGAAGCTGGCTTATATTTGAAGATAATTTCACATTACTTCGAGACTGTGTCTTGTACAACCTACCAGAGATTCACAAGCCCAGGCACCTACTCTTCTAAGCTCTGCCATGAGCCTCCTCACCCCAAACCATACAGTCCTCAAGGCTCCACTGTCCAGTAACTGGTTGCATAAACGTATAAAGGCTTGATTTAAGGGACAAGTCATATCCACTGCGACAATGCCATGTGGATGTAGGTGAAAAAAAAATCACTAGGACCATGAAAATAAAAGCTCTAGATTAGGTGGGGAAATCAAATGTCAATTTAACAGTATATTCACAAATGTGGATTAAGAGCATTTGGTATCAGGAATTTGTGACACCAATCAAAAACGTGATCTGGTACAATCTGATCCTCAAGACAAAAAGGAACAGAGACAGGTGAGCAGAAATATGATCCAATGCTGTAGTTTACTCTAAAATATCTCCCTGACTATCCTACATTCAACTGTAGGACTTCTGAAAGGCAACTGGATTGTGAGGATGTGACACTTATCAGTGAATTGATCACTTAATGAGTCTACAGCCAAATGTACTATGAAGAGATTCGGCCTGGTCAGAACAGGAGGGTTACTGGAGGCATGAAAATGGGAGAGTGAATTCATGACCCTGGTTGCTCTTCTCCAAATCGTTGCTTCCTGACTCTCACAGGTGGAGTAGTTTTCCTCTGACTGGCTCTGCCACCACAGCGGCCCTTCCTTGAACACAAGTAACCAAGGGCCGAAGCCCCAGAAACCATGAGACAAATTAAATCTCTAATTGTTAAAGTTGTGTGTGGCATATTTTGTTTCCTCAGTGGGAACATATACAGAGTGGGCCATTATATAATATCGTTATAGCTGTGTAGATTTAGCTAATGTTTTCTTCCTGTGCTTGGCAAATCTGTTTGAGATCTACAAATGATAATTAAATACCTGAAAGAATGACAGAACCATTTCCTTGGGATCATTCCACCTCCTGAACATAGAAGTCATGCCAACAGGATACAAGTTAGTGAAGATGACCCTGTTCATCTGTAATTTAACTTCCCTCTCAGGAAGAGAAATGTGGCAAATGTGAAAATGATTCTGGCGCCAAAACTAAACTGAGAAAGTCTCTGAATTTGTTTTTCAGTGTGAGATATTTATCATATCTACAACTGGAGAAATGGCTAAGCAAAAGAGCGTAGGTGTTTATATGCAGAGTGAAACACTTCAGTAGTGGAGCTCTCTCAATGTTTAGTAACAGAGAAGAGGGTCATTACGGTAGTAATGATGATCATAAAGGAGAACGCATGCCCTCTGCTGATACTTTCTCAGCTTTTACTTGTCATTTTCCATCTCGTACAGTGCAAAATGCTATGTGAGAGATGTTGAGTGACAGCTTTCACAATGGATGAGATGCAGGCTCTTTACAGAAACCTTGCAATCTCTCCCCCTGCAACACATTCTTGTACATTATTCTTAAGGGGATCTATGGTAGATGATAGAAAGGTGAAAGACACTTAATCCACACTTCACAAGTAAGCTTTTCTTGGGCTTCTTGTAGTTTTCCAAACATTATGTCTACAAGAAGCAAGATTTTTTACCTTTGAGAGGAAATTAGGTGGCATTCCAAGCTAGGTAGACAAAACTTAAAGACAGGGAAAAAAAATCTTCTGCACCTATGAGCAATTTCATTTTATCTCAGAACCAGGAAGAGAGTGGATACCACAGTTAACACCGTCAGTGTGGGCTGTGCTCCGGTGGTGCAGAGGCAGCCCCAGCAGGATGCTTGAGCTGCAAGATTGCAGTTGTCAAGTTTCCTCACTGATTCCAGTAATGCTATGGTTTGGAATTGGAATATTTCACAGCAGACTCCTGTGTTCAGAGGTGGGGATTTTGGTTTTTGTTGTATTATATTTTATTTTTATTTTTGTTGTTGTTGTTGTTGATACAGGGTCTCACTACATACTTTGGACTCATAGTGACCCTCCCGTCTCCCTCTCCCTTAGTGCTGGGATTACAGGTATGCACCACCACTCTGGGTTTCTGGGTTAGCACATTGCACCCAGGGTTCTGGAGTCAGCACAACATGCAGTACTAGAGATTGAACTCAGGTCCTTGGGCTTGCCAAGCAGGTGCTTAGACCACCAACATATCTCCCCAGCCCAGAGGTGGAGCTTTTGGGAGGTGATGGGATCATGGGATTCTTACTCATCCATGGATTCACCCTTGATCAACTCACACTGAATGTGCTGTTAGATGTTGGTGCCTGGCAGGAGGCAGATCACTGGAGCTATGACCTAGAAGGTTAGGTCACCCCCCCAGGGTCACACTCTTCTTCATTTCTTTACTGGTTTCTAAGATGTGAGCATATTTCTTGTGTCCCAGTCCCTTCTACAATGCAAGTTTTACATTTGAACCAGGCAACTATGGATTGAATATTCTGCCACATGAACCAAAAAGAACCTCTGCTCCTTTAAGCTATGACTGTCTGGTGCCTTGGCCTAGCAGGGAGAAAAGGACAAAGACTGAGTCTTACCAGGTAGGACTAAGATTTAAACTGCTACTTGCACATATGGATGTGGGTATACCTAATTACATCATCTGGACACCTTTGAAACTGATTCATGTGAGGAGTTTGGGCAGGGTTGAAGACACTGGCTGGAGAAGCCATAGTTTTCTATAATCCAAACCTAATGAGAGATTCTGCACAGAGTCCAAACCAGCATGCAGACAGAAATGTAGACAGTAACCAGTAGGTTCAGGAAGTTTCACTTAGGAACAAAGATTTATCTTTGGACTCAAGACTATGGGCATTTCCCCAGGCAGAAAATTTGTTTTTATTCTGCTCATGTCCTGAGACCTTCTGAAAGACTGAAATTGAGCAATTTGATGATCTAGCAGCAGAAATTTAAAGGTAGCTCAAAATTCAGACTGAATCACGGGGAGGGCTAGTTCCTTATAGTGAGACTTACAGAGGGAATCCAGAGCCAGAACCAATCTGAAAACTTTTCAGTTTCACTGGAAAAGAATCCCTTGTCAAACTGGTGCCTGGGAGAGCTTGGTTGCTGAAAATGATTAAAAGAAACCAAGTGCTTCATGTCACTACAGTAGAAAAGATGCTTTGAGCACATCTCAAGAATTACCAAGCTTTGTGTAAGATTATGAGTACAAAAGTAAAACCCTGTGCTTTAAGAGAGCTTCAGAAAACCCTGCTTGATCAGGGTCATGTAGGAATTGGTTCACCATAACTTAGTTCAGAGTGCTCAGCCATTCAGCACTCAGAGGGCTC